AAGGGATGGCGCGGTACTTCTGTCTATAGTGCCGTGTTGTCTGGAAGTCAAGCCCAGAGTTTTTGAGCTCTTCCTAGCTTCTCCAACAGAGAGGAAATTACTCTTTTCCCTTAGTTTCAGCTCAAAAGTACTGCAGAAGGATTTTGATCCAACAGAAGTTGGCTCCTATGTCTAAGTTTTGGTGAAGGGCTGTGGGACTATAATCTGTGGCTCTCACTAGGATCACCTAGTATGTTGGATGAGAGCAATTCTCAAAAGAGATGTGATAATTTTCTGGGATGAGGGAGAAGGATGGTCAGGTAGACAAGGAATTAATATTCACTATGAGTTGGAATTGACTTGATGGCAACGGGTTTAGTTTTTTGGTTGTTTATAGCTGTTATTTGGAGAACTCATGGTGACGTGGTTAAGCATTTGGCTGCTAACCAAAAGTTCAGCAGTTTGAATCCATCAGCTGCTCCTTGGAAACCCTAAGGGGCAGTTCTACTCTGTCCTATAGGGTCACTATGAGTCAGAATTCACTCGATGGCAACAGGTTTTTTATTTTTATTTTTAGTAGCTATTATTGAAGCCCTCATAGTGTGGTGGTTAAGAACTCAGCTGCTAACCAAAAGGTCGGCAGTTCAAATCCACCCTATAGGGTCTCTGTGAGTCAGAATCGACTTGATGACAACACATTTGGTTTTTTTTTCTTTCTTTTTTTTATAGCTATTATTGTTATCAGCAGCATTATTATAGGATTTGATTTCTTCAATACCTAAATAGTCCTATGCAGTCTGAGCATCCTTATTGCATTTGAATGACACTGGCAAAAATTTTAAACTGGAATAATAATTTTTAAAAATCCTCAGTGTTACTAGAGAGTTCAAAAGTCTGGGCCATTCCTGTTCCTGGACAGAAAAAATTTTGGGGTCTGTCAACTCTGAGCCTGTGGTGAAATACAGCTGTTATCACTAAGACCAACCCAGAATGTAGTTAACAAATTCATTTAAATTGTAGGTATTTATATATGAGTGTCTCATACCTGGTTATAAAAACTTTTAAATCAAATTTGGAAGCATATATTCTATTTTGATCTTTGTAATTATGTTCTTTTGACCAATAAGTATTATGTTGTCCTTAAATTAGTTAAATTATTAATGCCAAAATAAAGGAAGCTGTGCTGATAATGTTGTTTATTTTTAAAAATTTATCTTTAAGGAGAATTCCACAGTGATTGTTTGTTAATTTCTTCCATATTCTCATATGGTTTCCATTTAGGTACAGTTATGCTGCCAACGGAGCCCTGGTGGTAGAGTGGTTAAAAGCTCGGCTGCTAACCAAATGTGGCAGTTCGAATCCACCAGCCACACCGTGGGAACCCCATGGGGCAGTTCTGCTGTATCCTATAGGGTCACTATGAGTTGGAATTTACTAGATGGCAATGGATTTGGTTTGGTTTTTGGATGCTGTTAACAGTTTTTTAAATTTTGTTTATTTATTGATTTAGATATGTTTTGCTGTCCTCTTCCCTGTAGCCTATAGGACTCTCATTAGTATTAATCAGAGGCAGGGGATACATCTTGGATTCAGGCAGTCATTAAACCTAGGATTTCTTGAAATGGCTGAAGAGTAACCATAGTGGTAGAAGACTGGGGCTAGGAATAGTGGATATTGGGATTTAAGGAAAACTGATACTTGAATAGAAGAACCAACTAGGCTGTTGACCATGGGCCCACAAATTTTCTCTGAAGCTACCAATGTTGCTACATGGACATAGAAGTGGAAGGAGCCACACTCTCTTGACATCTGCATATGGTCCTTATGAGGCATACAATCCCACAGCTTCAGGTGTATGGAAGAAAGATAAATTTTTATGAATTTGTAGGTTTGGAAGTCTTAATGGAAAAGATTGGAAAGTCCATTTCATTTTTTTAATATAAAGCTTGGATTAATACTTTAGTGATCCCTTTTTCTCTTTGTCTAGAACCTTTAATGAAAACAGGTCTATCTTGCTAGGTGCTATGAGGTTTACCTAACAAGGTAGACCTGTTTTCATTAAATACTTACAAACAATATCAAAGCTGAATAACCACAGAAGGGAAGAGTACATTGTTGGTCACAAGGCAGTAGTATCTGTTGTGTCAAATTATGGTGGTACAGAAAGGGGAATGAGCTTTTAGTGGAGAAGAGACTCCTGTAGGAAGACTTCTGGAAGGCAGTGGAACTCACGTCTGTTTTTAAGAATGAGTGAATTGAAGAGCAGAGTAAGAGCAATGATATTTTAAAATGACAGATGAGAAACACATAGCTGTTTCTTGGGAGAGTAAGCCAATTTATCTGGCTGGGGGAAAGGGCTTATATAAGGGTATTGTCAGGGATGATTTTCAATCTCATCAAGGAATTTATCAGAACATTATGATGATCTATTGTCTGAAGAGCTTTATTAAACAATATAAATAACACAGAGATTATCTAGGTATGTGGACTATAAAGGAAAGGATTGGCTTAAATTATACTGCTAATTGACTTTGGTGTAACTTTATACCCATAGACTTATTTTCTTTTCAAAAGAGTATTTTTTTTCTATATATGCTATTTATATTAAGTTTATAAAATTTAGATTTAAGTGAAAATCACCAAGAGACCCATCCTGCATAGGTGGGCTAATATTTTAACATGCATCTTTCTTATCGTCTGCTTTCTGTGCATACATTATTTTTATTTTTAAAAAAGGGACATATTTTTTATAACCTTATTTCTTTAATAATACAGTAAAACCTGTGAAAGCTAGAATCTGTGGAAGGCAGAAACCTGTCAGAGAAGGAAAACTGAAATATTTTTCACTAATCAAGAGTGATAGAAAAGTAGTAAGACTTTTCCAGCAAAGGCGGAAAACTCTCAAGACCCCAAAAAACAAGGCAGTCCCCTCAAGTTCCGGCTCTCACAGGTTTCACTGTACATCATGAACAGTTTTTCTAATAAGTCAGTGTTTTGCTACAATATGCTTTTTAATGGCTGCACAGTATTCAGAGTCCTGGTGACACAGTGATTAAGTGCTATGGCTGCTAACCGAAAGGTTGGAAGTTTGAATCCACCAGCTGCCCCTTGGAAACCCTATGGGGCAGTTCTACTCTGTCCTACAGGGTCACTATGGGTCAGAATCCACTTGATGGCAATGGGTTTGTTTTTTTTTTTGGTTTTACATAGTATTCAGTTATATGGATTATAGACTTTTTATAATTTCATCAATTATCACGACATCATTATGAAATCGATAAGTATAGCTTATTATTACCAGTTAGCAGGTGAAAAAGGAAGAATCAGACAGGTGAGGTGATGTTGATTAGTGAAAAGAGCGCTGAACTTGATCCGGAGTCTTCCTTTGTTCCACTTCAACGTCTGGCACCAATCAGTTATCGAATCTTGAGTTTTGTTACTTAATCTCTTTCAATCTTAGTTTCCTCCTCTTGAAAGCTAGGAGTTGCTTCAATATTCTGTAACCATGAGTTTCCTAAAATGTCATAGCAAATCAGGAACAGAGCTAAGACTAAATTCTTCCATTAAAATTGCATCATCTTACAGTTGTCTTCCTCTCTCTTTGGCTCTCTCTCTGTTTTTTTAGCCTCAGGTTTGAATTAATCACATTTGATTCATACCACTGGCCCATGAATGACCCCCTTTATTTGTTTCTTTATTCATTTTTAATACTTTATGCTAAACATCTGTGAAAATGTGTAAGGATGTCTACTAGCCAGAATCTAAGTTGTCATTTTTAAAATGCAAATGGCATATACTTTATTTGCCAGTTTGCTTCTAGCACCTACTGTAGTGCCTCGTGCATGCCCATTCCTCAATCAATATATGCTGTACAATTGAATGGTAGTCACATGGACCCTGTTGCCTGGATAAACATTTACTGGTAGAGGACAATCTACTGTCAAAGCTTGCTAAAATTTGAGCATTAGTTAAAGAGGCAGGTAATTAAAACAAACTTATACCATGGAAGTGGTCAATGACAGTAAGTGGAGAATAAAAACCAAACCCACTGCTTTCAAGTTGATTCTGATTCATAGCAACCCTATAGGGTTTCCAAGGCTGTAAATCTTTATGGAAGCAGACTACTGCATCTTTCTCCCACGGTTGGTGGGTTCGAACCACCAACCTTTTGATTAACAACCAAGCTCTTTAACAGAGCACCACCAGAGCTCTGAATGGAGAGTAAAGCAGTCATTTTCACTAGGGAAAGCTAGGTGACGGTGAAAGACAGAACAGAAATTTTGTTAAATGTGAGTTTAAAAAAAAAAAAAAAAACAACCAACAAAACCTTCATTGTTTGAAAACATAATGAAAGCATAAGGCTTGGAACATAGCACACTCAAAGAATAGGTATCCTTTAGTCCCCATGATAACACTGGGAGATGAGAGGGAAGGTTTAAATATTGTCACTTTTCAGATGAGGATATGAAGCTCAGAGTAGTTAAGTGACTTCTCTAGGTCACAAGGCTAGTAGATAGCAGCTCTAGATTCACAACTGGATCTATAATTTGATCTTCAGGGTCTGGCTGATCCTAAAGGAATGAGCCTTAAACCATGATGATAAGTGGTTCAAAATGGCATGATAGGTCTTCAGAAAGTTTGAGAGAAGATCCCTTCTAAAATATGTTTATTATTCAAGCTGTTTCCTAATCAAGGAGAAAGATTGCTGTTCTAGGAAATCATGACTATAAGGTGTGTCCTAAACCCTGGACCCTGGACCTTTTACTTTTTCTTATTTCTTTTCCTTGTACTTCATGGCCATGGAATACTGTTGCTATCGCTGTAATATATATACTTCTGAACCAGAAATGGACTCCATTAGGATTAAACTTTTCTCAAAAGCTCTTTTTCTTTGTGATGCCTATTTCAATCCCCTAGTGGGACTTGTTTGCCACAGTGGATGTCAGTTCCTGTCTATGTAGTTAGTAGGTGATCTGTGTTGTACTATCAGTATACTTGATACCATCTTTATGCTGTTACAGAATTATAGTAAAGGATGTAGTGGATTGGCAACCTCATGACAAAATCGTCCTTAGCTCCTCGTCTTATGAACCCCACGAAGCGGAAATCCTCACTGTGAAAGAAGTCACAGGCCACCACATTAGGATCCAGGAACGTCTCAAACACCGGCACATAGGTAAGGCTTTCGTTTGTTGGTTACGGGAAGTGAATGAACCAGGAAGAATGAGGTCAGCAACCTGCTGAGGGACCTTGGATCTGAGAGCCATTCAGAGGGGATGGATGATACCTTACTGCTGCCCTAGACTCATCCTAGGAGGCTTTATCTCCATTCCTTCATTAATTTTTTTGCCTAATTTTTAAACAATACTTGCAGGTGAGGGAATTTTTTCCTCTTTATTTATAATGGGAAGTCTCAAAGCAGGAGGGTTGGGAATCTTGTTCAACATCACTGAGTAGTTGCATGGCTAAGACAGAATAAAACTCATGGACACTAAATTTCTAGTTCATTTCCTAGCACAGTGAATCCAACAACTACTTAGAATGTAGTAGTTACTGTAAATAATGTAAATAATGACTTCATTTTTCATGCTTAGGTGTGTGCTCCTCCTGACATGAAGTACATTTTATGTACTGGCAACTACCACTCCGAAAAGAAATGTCAAATCCCTTTTTGTTTAAAAAAAATGTAAAGAATTTTTTTTACACTACACACAGTTAAAAATGTATTGCAGGTAAATCACAAATAATTATAAGCTCCTAGTTCAGTCTAAATCTGATCCAGGAAATATAGCTAATAAGTAGTAAAACATGGAAATAAAGGGGTAAGAGAATATGTGTTTTCAACAGCAGAGGTCCAAACCTATTTCTAAATCATAACTCCAAGGATAATCTGATTTTTAAAAATATGGCCAAGAAAAGAGAAATTTTTAGCAATCCTTGCCTGTAAGATCCAGGCAAAATGCAGACAGAGGACAGGGACACAAAATAGCGGGCCACTTCAGTTCTCACTGCTGAGGTAGCTTGTTCAGAAGTACTGAGTTTAAGACCCACCACGAGAGGATGCTGCTGCTAATGCTGCTTGGCACTGCTTCTCTCTTTGTCCTTTTCCTCTTATACATTGCTGCCTTAGCACTGCCACCACCCTAGCTGATCTGGGATTCCTCATCCCCTTGAAAGAGGTGTGTGGACAATGAAGAACCAAGCTCTGAAGCTTCACACTGATATATTTAAGTAAAAAGATTGGGGACTTGCTAATTGGCCAGGTCTCCCCTGACTTCCTGCACCAGTGACCTGTCCCAGGACCCACTGTTATTGTGAAGAAATGAATTCTTGCTCACACACTCTGACTCTGATCCCAAAGACAGACAAGTGAACGGGCTTTTCATTTTTCAGCTGACATTTGTGGAGAATGCCTGAGGAAAAGCAGACTTTAATGTTGGTAGGACTTCCAAAGGGAAGGAGTGTTTTCATTTATCAAGTTCACTGGGTCCCCAGATGGTGGTTTCTAAAATAGGTTTTTAACATTTTTTTTCCTTCCCAGGAAGTGTCCATGTCATGGAGGATGGCCAATATGTTCCTTTGGCTGCTGAGGTTGGACTGTTGACCCGAAATATACAGATCCAGTCTGATATATCATGTAGGGGGAAACTACTTGTGGGACCCTTTAGGAAACCCAGCAGCGAAGAATTTTCAGGTAAATGAAATTTTAAGTTACTATGCTTTACCAGTTGGAGCCTATTCATCTGGGACAGTTAGAAGTTCCCAAGGTGAGAATTTTCGTTTGCAAACCAAGGTGTCTGAATTAGATGGCTCCTCTGGGCTCTGAGATGCTATGCATTTTCAGCCCTAATCTGTGCTTAATTATCAAGGTAATGTTAAAATAATATACTAGTGATCAGTACATATGCACATTTTTTTTACCTCCAAGAAGACATCTTCAGCAGATGTGAAATTTCCTCTACTTTGAAATTACAGATGATTTAATGACTGCTTGAATTTTATCTCTTTCCTGAATTTCTATTACTGTTTCCCAGTAGCATGCTACATCTGATGGCAGGCATGAGTTCATGCTATAAATTAATAGCATAAATTTAAATAAAAATGATTTCCATATTCTAGACTGCTTTAAGGACCAGTTTAATTTCTCTCATTTCTTCCCAGTTTTAGCCCTTTTGGAATGCAACAGAATTATTTGATTAGGACCTTGTTTCTTAAACTTGTGTTCCTTAAATATTATTCCAAAGTTGTTTCCTGATCAAATAAGTTTGGGAAAGGCTTTATACTATAGCTCCATCTTAGAAGGTCATTATGTACATGAATATAATAAAGACTCCGAGAAGCCCTGGAATAAAGGATCTAACCACTTCCTAAATATATTGAGCATGGAACACTTCATTGCACGTCTATTTCTCCAGTTTGGTGTAAAGAACAGTGTTTGGGCCTTAAATCAAAAGTGTAAAATTTCTAGTCCATAGCAAAGCTTTTCCCTCCATAATCGTTACTTCCATAAATTCTCAACCACAATGATTATGCCCCTCCCCCCGAGAACATTTGGCAATGTCTGGAAATGTTTTTGCTTTTTGCAACGGGAGGTTGCTTCAGGCATCTAGTGGGTAGAGGTTGGGGATGCTGCTAAACATTCTACATTGCACAGGACAAACCCCACAACAAATGGCCTCTCAATAGTGTCAAAGTTGAGAAACCCTGCTCTAAGAAGACTGGGAAAAAAACTAGGTCCTGGTTCTGTAGCAATGAGGCCATCCTACAGTTTATAAAGACAGAGAATCAGGGAGAGGATAACAAGACAGGGTCCCAGATACCTGAAATTGCAGGCCAAGTTGGAGCATGGTCATAGGAATGGGACAAAAGCCAATTCATAGAGCTTTGCACTAAACCAGAGCTGAACCAACGTCAGGATCGACTTGATCCTGAAGCTCTGACATTGCTCATTCAGGGTTTCTTAAATCATTCCAGGGGAAGGGAAAGAGAAGCTATACTGAATGTTTCCTGTGGGCCAGGAACAGTGCTGGTTTTCATACCTATTATCTCACTGAATGTCTTAGGTTGGGTTCTCCAGAGAAGCAAAAGCAATAAAGAGTATAAATGTATATAGAGAGATTTATAGCAAGGAAATGGCTCACACTGTTGTAGAGGCTGGAACGTACCAAGTCTGTGGGTCAGGATAGAGGCTTCTCCCAATGTAAATAGCCACAGGGGCTGGTGAACCCAAGACCGGCAGGTCGGAGAGCAGGGCTCTTGTTCACAGGCTGTGGAGATCCATGAATCCCAAAGATTGGCAGGCAAGACTGCAGGTAAGCTGCTAGCTCAAGTCCCAAAAACCAGAGATCAGATGAACAGGAGCTAGCTGCAGGATCCAGGATAAGCAAAAGCTGACAAGCCTTGCCAGAATATCCACTTATATTCAATGCAGGCCACACACCTAAAGAAACTCCCTTTCAACTGATTGGCTGCTCACAGCAGATCCCATCATGGAGGTGATCACATAATATCAAATCTCATCATGGAAGTGATCACACCATCATATGACTATCAAAGCACTGAGAATCATGGCCCAGCCAAGTTGACACACAACCTTAACCATCACACTGAATCTTTAGTATTCTTGTGAGAGAGATATTTTTATCCTCATTTTTGTAGAGAGGGGACTGAATCTATAATAAAACTGCCAGTTTATTTGTATAACTTCATGAGCATATGAGCTTCTTGAGGGTCAGCTTGGGCTTTTCGCCTCTTTTTCTAGCAGAGTGCCTGCTGATTATTAGGTGCTCAATAAATGTGAGTGGATAAAATAAATGAAGCTTAAGAAAAACCATCCAACTAGTAAGGGGCAGAGATAAGATTCAAATTCAGGACTGACTCCAAAGCCCTTGAATTTTTAAAATAAACTTTTAATTTTGGAATAATACATATAATGCATACTATATATAATAATACATATATAGATTTTAACAGTTTTTCCACTAATATCCTTTTTCTGTTCCAGGACCCAATCCATGTTCCCACACTGCATTTAGAACCCTTGCATTGTTAACCATGGCATACTCCAGAGCCTAGATGAGGTTAGATCTGCAGGTGTAGATCAAGGGTGCCAGTTATGGGTGTTAAATGATTATAGGCCATAAAGCAGGCCAAGACTTACAATTCCTAGTTTTATTTAAAAGGGCTGTAATTCTCCTCCTCTGATCAATATCATCCATTAAGTTGCGCTCAATTTGCTAGGAAGTTTTTCGGAGTTGTGATTTTCAAAAGGAAAAATAGGAATAAAAAGATGTGTAGACAAAATTATTGCTTAATTCTTCATTTAAATGCTGAAGGTTAGTTTTAATTCACTGGTTAATATGCACACAGTAAAAAGGTCTTGTATAATTTAAAACTATGGATTATAACCATGCAAACAGAACATAAAAAACTGCTAATTACAATAATACGGATACATTCCCTCGATATAAATTCTAGAGGCACCTACCATTCTAGAAAACATGCTATTTATGTATAGATGTACATTGCATTTGGTATCTTTTGTACTAAAATCCCATGGATGCAGTTTTGATAGCCCTTTCAGCTATTTGTTATTTGTGAGGGGCACTTGAATTATGTAAAAACTGGTATCACCAAACAAATAGCTTTAGGCTGATTTATCATCCTGTGAATATTTCTACACCTTCTGCTAGTACCTCAACAATCAGTATCAGTTGAGAAATTTAGGTATGTTGGAATCCTGTCTGGCCACAAAGAGACTTCTGTGGTCTTTCACTTCCTCGTCCTTCCCACAAGGGCTTAGTTCTCCACATCAGCTGATTTGCAGGGATTCTAGTGTCTCAACTGTGAAAAAGGAGCAGGAAAAGTGGACAGTTTGGGTTGGACTACCTTTGAGCTTGAAATAGTGCTACTAAAACACAGTGAAATTGAAACTTCTCAATTTTGAATGAGAGAAATAACTTTACAGCTTACCTTTGACATTCATTCATTCATTCATTTTTAACAAAAGAAGTGAGGACCAAAGTTGTAACCAAACTAAGGACCCATGACTAATTATTGGCACCTAGCTATCATCCAATCATCTGAATCTCAGTGCAAAGCTGCTATTTTTATGTCACCACGTCTACTCTCCCCAGTGTCCCTCCATAGGGGTAAATGGTACAGCCTCTGCATCCATATGCCTAGGTCCAAATTCTAGCTTGTTATTAACCCTTCTTTGCCTCAGTTTTCTTATCTGGAGAATGCAGGTAATAATGGTATCTACCTCATAGATTTGTTTGAAAATTACAAGTATTTTTATATAAGTGTGTGTGTATATATGGAGCCCTGGTGGCACAGTGGTTAAGAACTCAGGCTGCTAACCAAAAGATCGGCGGTTGGAATCTACCAGCAGCTTCTTGAAATCCTGTGGGGCAGTTCTATTCTGTCCTATACTGTTGCTATGAGTCGGAATCGACTCAATGGCAATGGAAGACACGAGTGTGTATACGGCTTAGAACAGTGCCTGGTACATAATGAATACTATATGCGAGTTGGGTGTTATAGTTATTAATTTACTTCATTTTCCCTATAATTATGTTGTTATCTGTTTTACCGAGAGTATATACACTGACTTATTAATGTTCACTATATTTTTAAATTAACCTACTGGGTGCATTTTATGCTGTGTTTTAACAATATCTCCTTAAAATAGTACAAATAAAATCCCCAAATGAGGCTTAATAATCCACTATCCTCTCCTGACATAAAAATCAAAACCAAACTCGTTGCCATCGATTCGATTCTGACTCATAGTGACCCTGCAGGACAGAGTAGAACTGCTGCACAGGGTTTCCAAGGAGAGGCTGGTGAATTCCAACTGCCAACCTTTTGTTTAGCAGCCGACCTCTTAACCACTGAGCCACCAGGGCCCCCCTGACATAAAAGATGTAGAAAAATTTATTATTGTGAAAATGAAATTGGGAATATGATATGGCTAGGATAAAATACAGAAACTATTTCACAAGGTTTTTGAAATGATTTGAAAAATAAGTTATCACTTCTATCATGTCTTGATCATGATAGAATATAATGTTTCTGGACATGACTGAACAGAAGTGAACTTTGCACTTATATACTCTTTTTCAGAAATACTTGAAATATTTTTTTAGAGTTGGCCATTATATTCTTTCATGCAATATCTCTGTGAGGAAGACTATGGCCTTTTCACATGGTATCACTGAAACATGGAGAGGGAGACATGATTTTGAGGCAAGTGGCCAGGAGCCCATATTCCCTTCATTCTTATCCAATTTCTTGCCGCAGCCCTGCAGACAAATGCACAGACTCTTAAGTTAGCTGTGCCCATTTCCAAAGCCTATCTCTTTTCTTCTTCTGTCCTCTCTTCTGTCCCTATCCTATCACTAGACTCTTCAGTTTGGACATGAAACATTTTTAGACACTAATGTGATATTTCTAATGATTCATATTTCTTCAGTGAAACCCAATGGCATGAAATATAGTGCTGGTGCCATGAATAAACTATTAATTTAACTAAGCATCTGCATATTCTGATGCTCACAAATGGACCATCCTTCGGCCTTTTGTAGGGAAGAAGAAAGTGCCTGATGACATGCATTTTGTTTGCAGGAGTCCTTCAGCTTTTAAATGTGGAAGTTCAGAACTTTGGGTCGCCACAGTATTCATCCATTGAATTCACTAATGTGTCTGTTGGATCCTGGATGGTATCTTCTACGGTGCACAAGAGCTGCGGTGGGGGCATTCGTGCAACTGCCAGCCATGGCATTATTTTGAATGATAACATAGTATTTGGCACAGCTGGCCACGGCATTGATTTGGAGGGTCAGGCCTATTCTGTCACTAATAACCTTGTAGTTCTGACAACACAGTCAGCGTGGTCCACCGTTTGGGTGGCAGGAATCAAAGTGAATCAGGCAAAGGACATCAACCTCCATGGCAATGTGGTAGCAGGTTCTGAGAGGCTTGGCTTTCACATCCGAGGCCACAGGTGTTCCCTTCCTGAAGTGCTTTGGTCTAACAATGTGGCTCATTCAAGCCTTCATGGCCTTCATCTCTATAAAGAAAGTGGGCTGGACAACTGTACAAAAATCTCTGGCTTTCTGGCTTTCAAGAACTTTGATTATGGTGCCATGCTACATGTAGAGAACAGTATGGAGATAGAGAACCTCACTCTGGTAGACAATGCTGTTGGTCTTTTGGCAGTTGTGTATGTGTCTTCTGCTCCACAGAGCTCCATCGAAAATGTACAGATTGTGCTTAGGAATTCAGTCATTGTGGCCACTAGCTCCTCTTTTGACTGCATTCAGGACAGAGTTAAGCCTCGCTCAGCCAACTTGACATCAACAGATCATGCACCTTCCAATCCAAGAGGGGGTCGAGTTGGTATTCTGTGGCCTGGATTCACTTCAGAACCAAACCAGTGGCCTCAGGAACCATGGCACAGAGTGAGGAACAGCCATTCAATTCCAGGAATCATGAAACTTCAAGGTAGGAAATTTGGGTTTATCCAAGCAACTTTGTTCTGTGCACCTGTGCATAGAATCTTTAGTAGCATTCTGAAATTATATCAGCCAAAGGGTAAGTGTGGTCTAGTGCTTGCTGTCTAATTAACAGTCTGCTTGGGCATTGATAAACCTAGTGGTGGTTTACTGTGACAATGAGTGATTCCTTATAAAGTTACTGATTTATACATTTTGAAGAGCTTTCACAGCAATTATTTAATTTGATCTCTATAACATTTCTCTTAGGGGTTATTGTTCCTACTATACAATTGAGGAAACTGAGAGTTAGACATTGTTCCTTGTCTGAGGTTGCTTGGTAGTTGGTGGGGCACCTAGGATTAAAGTGAAGGTTATACCATAGCCTGTGCTGTTCATCTTCTATCAGATCACTTTCTATTGTGCTCATTCCCCATACACTTATTCTCTCTGGAAGTTTGAGTATTTTTTAGAAAGTAAATAGATTTTGATCAAGTCTTTAATAAAAAGAATCCCCGTTAAGACTTTAATGTTTTAAAATACTCTTCTATTTGGCATAGTGTCCATAGCTTGAGGAATTATAGATGTTTTAAGTAAAGATTCATACAAACTCCTGGAATTATCCTGACTAGCTTACACTAACTCCTGGACATGAATTATTATTAGGGTTTTTAGTTGTGCAATTTGTATCTGAGTTGGTAATTTATATGATAAAATGTTATACATATATATATTTTTAATTTCAGGTGTCACTTTTTCTAGTTTTATAAAGAGTTGCTATAGTGATGATGTAGATGTCTGTATTCTGGCAAATCCAGAGAACACTGGAATCATGTACCCAATAACAGCGGAGAGGACAAGGATGCTAAAGATCAAAGATAAAAACAAATTCTACTTTCCTCCCCTACAACCCAGGTATCACTTTTAGTATATATAGGAAGTCCTATTTATGAACACTGTGGCAATTCTTCAAATCCCTGTACAGGTTATAAAAGAATAAAATCATCAGTGGGAATAGCAGTGACTCCTTCTAGAAAGGTAGGGTAGATTGATTTAATGGCCCCAGTTCTTTACCCCTCCTGTATACATGCCCTTTGGTATATGATTTTTGCAGAGTCTATTTCTCTACACCTTGAATCTAGGCTCAGCAACTTTCTTTAGTTTACAGGAAGGGCAGAATTGATGGAATGCATGTTCCAAATCTAGGCCCCACGAGGCTTTGCTTGTTCCCATGTGTCCTCTGTAATTCTGGCTTTACCACATGAAGGAGAAGCCCAGGCTAGTCTATTAGTCCTGGGAGGGAGATGAGGGAGTGAGGAAGTTACAGAGCAGGGAGATTGGGTTGCTTTTTCTTTTCCTCAACATTGGAGAAAACACCTTTAATTAGAAAAAAATAACCAAGAGAAATCACCTTAATGAGAAAAGTTCCTGTGTTTGGCCTAACGCCAGTCTCTTTTTGATGACCATTCCTGAGCCATTTTAGGTTCCTAAACACAATTAGGTATGAACTTTGTGTTATTCTGTCATTTTTATTTTACTGTCCAATTTTCCTTATGTTCATATTTAACTATAGGGTGAAATAGTTATAAAGCTAAATGATAATAGCATCTGATTTTTGTACTATTTAACACCTGACACATGATTGGCATATAATAAATATTTAATATTATTACTAATGGTACCTAACAGAATTAGACCAGGGGAATAAAATAAATTCTCTGTAATTCAGTGTTGTAATTACTTATTAGTTGTTTACATATCCTGTTTGACTCTAAATTCCAAAAGTACAAGAACCATGTCTATCTTTATCACCATTGTATTTCCCAAACCTATTGCTAGTAGGTTTTCAGTGGATATTTGTTGAATGAGAGTATCTATCCTTGCTTTGTCTACAGTACAAATATAATTGATATTTGTAATGATGATCCTAAAATACTACATGGGTCTGAAGTACCATAAAGAAATGATTATATTATGCTCAGTAGATATTAAAATTAGGACTATTTTATTCTATCTTGCTTCCTAGAAAATTAGTAATCTATGTAAAAGATTACATATCCAGGTATCTAGAATATTTGGTTAATAAGAAAACCTTTCTTCTTGACCACATAATTGGAAATAGCTTATTTTATATAGAGTTTTTTCATATCTATGTAACACATTATTAATACTAAAATCCTGCTGAATTTCTTTTTCAGAAGATCAGCACTATGAACATATGTTTTCTTGTTAATGTTTGTTATGATATCAAAGAGTTTCTTTCTATCTCTCTTCACAGGACAGATTTAGGAGCAGTGGTCTGCCCTGAATGGGATTGTGAAAATCCAAGAAAATATCTTTTCAAGGATCTGGATGGGAGAGCCCTGAATCTGCCGCCACCAGTTTCTGTATTTCCTAAAACAGAGGCGGAATGGACTGGATCTTTCTTCAACACAGGTCAGTTGTATCTGAATAAGAAAAGGAAGTGTTCATGTGAAGGAGCTGGCTTGACTATTTGGTCCAGTGGGAACAAGACTTACTGGAGTGGAACTAAGTGAGCTTTAGAGTTGGAATCTGTGCTAATATGCTGTCCAACACACCTGTCTCACAGGAATGTTGAGAGATTAAGATATGTCACGGCATCACTGCTGTGCCCTCCATGAAATTGCCTGTGTTCATGCCGAAGGTACGGATTCCTCATGCCCAGCTCTGTGTACAAGTTAAGGAGAACAACCCTGTTACTAGCTCTGTCACCTGGGCCTGGAACAACATTCCTTGTGCTCAGTATTTCACAAAGTCTGCCATGGAACCAGTTCCTCTGGCTCCTGAATCTACCTTTTTGTTCCATTAGGGCCTAAAGGCTCTCACTCTGGAGAGGGTGGTCGAATAGATGCCATGCAGTTTGCCTCCCTTTTCTGCATCTCCTTTTGTCCCCAAGGAACTGCGCTCAAAACTCCTTCTTCTTCTTGCTTGTACAACCAATGCCCTTTGGATATCAATTTTTATAATCCCTAGAGAGAATGTTATACCCCTGGATATCAATTTTTATAATCCCTAGAGAGAATGTTATACCCCTAGAGAGATCAGGGACTGGAGAAGGATATCATACTTGGTAAAGTAGAGGGTCAGTGAAAAAGAAGAAGACCCTCAATGAGATGCACCGACACAGTGGTTGCAACAATGGGCTCAAGCACAGCAACGATTGTGAGGATGATGCAGGACTGGCAGTTTTCTACATAGGGTTGCTATGAGTCAGAGCAGACTCAACAGCACCTAACAACACCAACAGAGAGATCATTACCCTTCTTCTTCAAAAATAATGAGACCCTGAATTCCCATTTGAGCTCAGCTAGAATCTGCTGCAAGTAAATCTAAAGAATTTCCCTGGCTTTCTTTCTACCACATCAGTTGATTCATCTCAGATTTCATTTCTGGTTTCCTTTGTCCTTTTTAAGCTCTTACAATTTTTCTATGTTGACGGCTTATCTTTCCAACAGAGTGACAAGTTGTGGGACTATAGTATATGCTTTTAAAAGTCAGTGATGAGTATATGGAATGTGCTGAGTAAATATTCATTTTGATAAGTTGATTATGACTGTTGGGTAAAACCAGCAAATCCGTTTTTTTGTACAGAGAATTAAATTTAGGGACACATATATATTAGTGAGAAAATATTTGGGAAGTAGTAGAAGATTAAAAAAAAAAAAAGACTAGTCTTCTATTTACCACCAGATCTATCTAAATTATTTTCTATAGCCAATTTTTCTATTGATTTTAAGGTTTATTTCACTATTATAGGTAAACATCTTTATATTTCAAAATAAGTACATGAATAATTTGGGGGCTTTTCTGAACTATATGGTTTTGGGTGATGATCATGCTTCTCTGGAATCAGTAAGAAGGGATATATGCTCCAGAATATTTAATGAAAATTAGATTTCATTCTAGTAGAAAAGAAAAAGGATTAGAGATGGTGTCTTACTTTGGGTTGCCCTAGAAGCAGATTTTGACATAAGGTTTAGAGTACAAGTAGTTTTTGTAGGGGGTGATGCCAGGAAATACCTGTAGGGAAATGGGGAAGTGAGACATGGGATGGGACTGAAACCAATAAAAAGTGTATTAGCTAGATGGCAGCTGGAGCTGCTGGTGGTGAACTCTGATGGTAAACTCTGGAAGACTATGGGGAATATGCATCAAAATTATCCCTACCAAAAAAAAAAAAAAAAACCACAATCAATAAACGAGAGAAATATCTACTGAATGCCCCGAAAACAGCAAACAATATCAAGACATTTACGAAAA